TAGGAAGAAAAGGTCTAAAGGAGCAGGGGAAGTGGGAGGGGTAGGGGAAAGGAAAGAAGGGAAAAGAAAAAATATGAGAAAAGGGAAAAAATGGACACAAAGTTTTTGCAAATAGGCAAGGGTGGAGGGGGTGAAGGGAGGGCAGGGGAAGGGGAAAAAAAGTAAGAATCAAGATACTCATGTAATGCTACAAGATCTCAATGATGAATGTAACCGTATTTTATACCTAAAATGTACCAATAAACTTGATGGGGGGAAAAAAAAGAGAGGGAGGGAAGTAAAGTGTAATACTGTATGTGGTCTTGCCACTTAAGATCTGGCCTTTACCAGCTTCATACAATCACCTTGGAGCTTGTTAGAAATGCAGGATTTCAAGCTCCTCCATGGCTGAATCAGAATTTCAGCATCTTAACAAGTCTCCAAGAGATTCATAATTTCATTAAAGTTTGAAAAGTGCTGCTACACAGAATGATCTCAAATTCTATTTGGTTTTACAAACTACATTATGTTCTTCCAGGAAGTGTTTCTCAGTGAAAGAATTTTATGCTCCAAGTTTGCTAACAGGAAAGTAGCAAGTATTTCCATATGTCATGATTTATGGATAGAATAACAATCTGCATTCCAACCACAGGATTCGCTGCATATTCTATACTTAGTAAATGGCAGTGTCATATTGGTCATGACAAGGAATTATTAATATATTGAAGAACAAACAAGCCAGAAATAGAAGCAAAAAAGAAAACATGAAAGTATAATAAGATAAATTATATGAATATATGAAAATTATAAAGATAATACAGTCATGTAAGGCATTACTATACAATTCATGGTACCCAGCATTTTCATTAACAAAAGATTCCTAAGTGTACATAATATGGTGTCTAGCATATATGCCTACTCAATAATAAAGCTAATTCCTACTGAGCTCTATTATATACCAATCACTTGCTAAATACTTTGGAAGCACTCTCATTTAATTCTCAAAGTAAGCCTCTGATGAAGTAATTATATTGGTCAGCTACTGCTGTGTACCAAACTATCCCTAAAACATAGTAGCTTAAATAACAATTATTTATATTAATCATATGTCTATAGGTTGAGAACTGACTGATCTAGAAAACTGACTACACTAAAAAATTGATCCTTGAGAGGTAAAGCAAAGTGTCTAGGGTTTTAAAGACAGTACAAAGAACTGCTGCAACCAGATCCAATCATTCTAAGATATATTGCCCCTCTAAATATCTGTACTATCAGCAATCCAGTTAAATCCTGTGCCCAACCTTTGTCCTCTACTTCTTTCTTACTCCTCTCCCACTCAGTAAGTAGGCTTGCTAGAAATACCAGTGTATAAGTAATTATTCTCCTTAGCATCTAACACAGAAAGGAGAAATTGGCTCTGTACTTCCCACTCACATACTGATTGCTTTTTCTCTTGTTTCCTCAGCTCCAAAAATGTGAAACCACATTGCCGGACCAGGCCTTCTTTGTCCTTCATAAGGAGTCCTCTGAATTCGTTTCATTTGAATGTAAGAGTAATCGTGGAACATACATAGGAGTAAAAGATAATCAGCTTGCTCTAATAGAAGGAAAGAATCCAAGTAGTGAGAATATCATGTTTAAGCTCTCTGACTTAATGTGATGGAAAGCTGTGGTTTCTGGTATGAGCAATTCAAATCCTGTCACTGGAGTATGGATAAGAATGTTCTAGAAGGTTTTTCTTGTTATGTGTAATAATATTTTTTCTAATCCTTCAGTTCTGTCTTTACTTCCTTCTGTATCACTACGTTTAATAAAAGTATGAATTAAGTATTGATTTTAAAAAACCTTGCTGACTTTTTAAGAATGGAGTCACCACATATGTTAGGGCATCCAAGTAGCAGGAAATCCAAGTATCATGGCAGAGCTGAAGTCCTCTAACCTAGGAGGACTGAGGAGAGACATAAAATTAACTTTTAAATATTAACTGGTAAACTATGCATATGGTATACTATGGCCTTCTGATACTGACTTCCAAAGATCTATGACTTCTGATAAACTCCATCTCATTGGATTTGTGTGTACAAGTCTTCTTTTTGTTTGACTTCTCAAAGATTTTGCTCACTGTGGAATTTCATTTCACTTCTGTCCCTTCTTTAGTTCTTGTGACCAACATATCCTTAATATATCTCTTGCACCTCATTTGGTCTGACCTCTATATGCCAACACCTTTATTCTTCTTTGTTTACCTGACATTGTAAAATTTTATATACACCTACTTATATACACTTACTAATGGCAACATTTTAAAAAATTTTATTGAGTTTATTGGTAGATTTTAGGTATACCTTATGATCACATTCATTGAGAATTTGTACCTGTACATGATATATCTTAATTCTTATTTTTTTCCCATTCCCCTGCACTCCCTTCAACCCTTCCACCCCTCCCTATAAACATAAGCTTTGTTTCCATTTTGATGGCAACATTTTTATTTCAATGTCTTTGTACTTTACTGTTGCAAAAGTAGGAAATTTATGCTCAACCATATAGTAACATTATTAACTACTAAAGGAATGTTTTAGTTTTATTTTTTTCTTATTTTAAAGCCTTAATTTTAACAGTGCTTCATAGGCTGAACACTTACAATAAATGACCAGCATAACAGGAAACATAAAACATGACCATTTCTGAAATCTAGTTTGTTGAAACCTATAGGATATAATTGCTCATGAAACAAAGTAAAAGAGTCTGAAAATTACTGTATAAAAGTATACAATGATAGAACAGTATAACTTTGTTTCATTAATTTGTCAATAATTTTACTATGAAGACAAAATAAAAGCAGAATCTAATCATCCTCTCTGAAAAAAACACCAAAGGGTAGACCATGTGCATCTGTACAATAAACTTATAATAATTATTAAGTAACCAAATATATCCATTACCTTGCTTATCAACCAGAATAAACCATTTTTTCAAAAGTATGTGTGGCCACAGTGATTTTATCATAAGATGACTCAGTATTCTGGAATTTTTATGTGAAAGTAAGCATACCCCAATCTATAAATATTGTTATGTGGAGTGGGTTATTTGTCTGATAATTTGGGACTCAAACATAAGCTTTTCCAGGGAAGGAATTGTGTCTATTTTGCCTTTGTCTTCCCAGTGCCTATTGTGGTAACCACCACAAAGGAAGTGTTGGGTGACTTTTACTCAAGCTCAGTCAACATGTACCTGTATCAGAAATTAACCTCAGATTTCTGATGTATTTAGATATCTTTCAAGACAGATGTTCATTACTTGTATCTTATTTTTCTTTTTTAAAAGCAGTATCAACCATTACTACAATCAGTGTTGATCAATATTCAAATGTATAAACCAGAAGTGGTGACGCATGCCTGTAATCCCAGCTGCTCGGGAAATTGAGGCAGGAGGATCCCAACTGCAAGGACAGCCTGGGAAATTTAGCAAGACTCTATCTCCAAATCAAAATGAAAAGGGCTGGGATGTAGCTTAGTGGTAGAGCACTTGCCTATCATTCACAATGCCTTGGGTTCAATTATTAGCACCAAAAAAAAAAGACACAAATATTCCAATATTTGGCAACATTTGAGAATGGAATAAAAATATATTTACTATAAAATGTGATCAAAGACTATAGTGAATATCACTACAGAGTCTCATACAGTGGAAAAGTAGGTAACTTCAATATGAGAAGCAATGCCTTAAACCTTAGTGAGAATGCATGACAAGTTTCAACAGGTCTGGTGCAGTCAGTTAGTTATGAGTTATGGTTGAGAGAAGGTGTAAAGTGTGTTGTAAATCATGGATCACAAACAACACATTTCACTGGAGTTGCCAGATCATGCTGCTTCAGATTGTATCTTTTTAAGAAATGTCAACACAGGAGATGAAACTTTGGTCTATGGTTATGATCCTGAGACCAAAGTTCAGAGTTCTCCATGGAAACCACCCAGTTTTTATGCAAAAAAGCGTATCAATCAAAATCCAACATCAAGCTGATGTTGATTGTGTTTTTTGACTGATAGAATTACATCACCTGAGATTGTACCCAGGAACAATACTGTGACTTCTGAAAATTATAAGGGCTTATCAGAATGTTTAAGAAACTACATGTGAATATTATAAGGACTTATTAGAGTGTTTAAAAATCAAGAAATAGCCTGAGAAATGGGCAAACAGTTTTCCTCCACTAGGATAATGCTCCACATCACACACTGAATTTGGTTTGGCAATTTATGTTACGGTGTGTCTTCATTCACCTTATTCACCAGATCTGGGACCATGGGATATCTGGCTCTTCCCCAAAGTCAAAATAATCATGAAAGCCCAATGTTTTGAATCAATTCAGGAAATCAAGGCAGCATAATTAAAGACACTCATGAAAAGAGGAATTGCAGAACTGCTTCAGAAAGTGGCCAAAATTATGGAATGTGTGTTCAAAGCAAGGGGAAGTATTTTCAGGACTAATGGCAATGTGTCTTTTGTTGTAATAAATTTTTAAAATTTAAACATTCATATTTTTATCATACCTTGTAATTCATTAATATTAAGTAGATCAGAAAAACAAAAGCTGGATCTTGGGGCAGGATCAGTAAAATTGATAAACCTTTGGCCAGACTGATCAGGGGAAAAAAGAGAGAAGATACAAATTACTATTATTAGTAATAAGAGATTAGATAACACTACAAATTCTGACATATCAAACATATAAAAGGGGAACATTATGAACAATACTAGAATAATGGACTTTAGTAAAATAGACAATTTCCTCAAAAGGGGCAAACTACCAAGATTAACCCAAGAAGAAGCACACCTGTGTCAGGTCTCTGTGTTCAACCACCCCACACTGTGCAGGGCAGGGGAACTCCCTTCACTAACAGGGTGAACAGGAGGTATTCAGAACAGTTAGCAGCCTACTGCTGAATGGAGAAAAAGTGGTTAACAGGACCTCAAGGAATCTCAAGACTAATGACCTTTTACATTCCTCACCCACATTGCAACCCATCCCCTTCCACCCCAGACCATCAGATCGCAGGGTCTTAGCCTTCCATATGGACTGATAACTCTCCAGACCAGACCTCTTTCCTGAGGTGCAGGTCAACCATGCTTCCAACTGACTGCAGGACTCCACCATTTGGATACGCTTCAAATTCTTCAAATCCAATATTTTTCTATCCCATCACCAAAGTCACTCTCTTCATCTCTGTATAACCAGCATTTAATACAGTGGTCTGGCACTTTCAACAATTTATTATTAAATATTTAATGTAGTTGTTTGGGCCATTTAGTGACTGGTTTGTGCTCTCCTTCTACTTGTTGCTCTGTTCCTTAGTTCAGAGGTTCTCAAACATTAACATGTATAGAAATCATCTGGAAAACTTGTTAAAACACATTTTCTGAACCCCAACCACAGAGGTCCTGATTTGTTAGGTTGAGGTGTGACATATAAGTTTGTAATTCTTACCATCCTACAAGTGATGGCAGTGCTGCAGGTCGGAGGATCATACTTTGAGAATCACTTACATCGTTCATGTAAGTGCATGGTCACTGATCACCTGGACTTTAGATTTCTATTCTATTTCTATTCTTTAGATTTCTATTTCTATTTAGATTCTATTCTATTCTGAATGATCATTCTCTCTCTTACTGAGTCTTCTGGGACCCTGATATCTGTTTTACTCTGGATTCTGACACTTGTAGTAGCCTATCTGCCAGCTTTCTCATTTTTACTGGCAAATCAACCTTGCTATCAATATTTAGACTTTCCTAGTTCTCCTGTCTTACCTAGCCTAAAGGTCTTGAACTTCTCACTTTTCAGTCCTGCCATGCAGCCTAACATTTGCAAAGGCTGGAGTCCAAAGTGATAGCAATATTATTTATTTGGGGGGGGGGGGGTTTGGGGGGTGTACTGGGGATCAAACTCGGGTCCTTGCACTTGTGCAGCAGGTGGTGAAACCACTGAGATAAATCCCTGGCCCAATGACAATATTATATAATGCTAAATTTGTCAAAGACAAATATTCTCAGTTTCTGCTTAAGTTACGTGGCATGAGCTAAGCTTTCCTAACACAATGAATCTAAAGGGAAGGATAGCATTTTATGGCTCCAACTACCAACCACATTTGAGCAGGACCTTTCTAGAAACCACAGAACTAATCAATAAAGACAGCCATGAGATGTGGGTTACTTCTGGGTTGGACCTCCATATTAATGGAAGCATGGCAGGCGGCATGGTAGTAGAGATCTGGGTTCTAATCTCACTTTCTGCCAACTTTTTTTTTTTTTTGGTACCCGAGATCAAATTCGGGACCTTGTGCTTAAGAGGCAGGCGGCAGCACCACTGAGCTAAATCCCCTGCCCCTGCCAGCTACTGAACTTCATACACTCTGAACCTCAGTCTCCTTGCCTATGAAATGGGGCTAATATATCACTTAGGACTCTAGAGAAGACAGAATATGGAAATGGCTGCTAAGTATCTAGCATAGTACCTGGCCTATATTAGAATGAGTCAGTGTAAATTGTTTCCCTCCCTCCACATGCACTTATATAATTTAATCCCCAACAGGACTTTTCTCTGATCCAAGGAATCATATTCAAGAAAAACAAAGAATGATGGTTAAAATTTGTGTTTCATTGGCTCAAAGGGACTGACAAGTGCTTCCTCACATCAGAATATTGCAGCTAAACAGGCCCTCAAACAGAAGTATCCTGTAAAGTTAAACACAGGCAAGAAAACTAAATATTTTCCCACTTTTTGATGCTGATTACAAAATGTTTCCCTTGTGCAATACTGGTCTCTGCTTCTATTGAAAGAATAATTACTCTACAACATTAAGCAAGCACTTTGGAATTCTGGAATGAGCCTCACTAGAACAGCATGAATTTATAGTGTTTCCCCAGTGATCAGTCTTGAGTAATTATGGTTAAGAATTTTAAAGAGAACAATATGCAGTGATTTAGCAATTCATTTTCATGCAACTATTTATCAGGATTTTTTTTCAATTTCCCTCTGGAATTGTCACCAAATACCCACTGCTGGAAATAAAAACAGTAAAGTACCCAATATTTGAAACTCAACTCTTTGGGTCACCTATCTTCCCCCAGACATACAAGAGAGAAATGGAAGGGGAGGAAAGTCATCCTTTTGAGCAATACTAAAATTGTGAAAAAAGTTATCCTCCCTTCTCCTGGAAACCAAGTGTGAACATTTCCTGTAAAATCATACAATGTGGATAAATTTAGGAAGCCAGTCAGAAGAGAAGGCTGATATTTGGTTTCCTGGATGCTGCCTGTTCTACCACAGGCCCTACTCTGGTAATACTGATAAGGAAAGAACCATGTATCAGTCAGTGCCTACTAGAGAAACATTTAATGCAAGATATACAAATATATAAGAATTTACAAGATTGCCTTACAATGGCCACCCACGGTGTCAGGAGCGGAAGAGTGCAAGAAGTCTCTCTGTGCACTGAGGAGCTAAAGGATCCAGTCGAAGCTCACTGTAGTGTCCCATTGGAGTCTGTATCCAGAGGCCAAAGGCTCTGCGCCAGAAGGCTGGGGAGCCTGTGCTGGAGGCTGGGGAGCCTGTGCTGGAAGCCAGAAGACAATGTGCAAGGTGAAGGCAAAGACTCCTCTGAAGAAATAAAAGCAATCCTTCCTTCTTCATTTACCTTTTACACCATTCTGGCAACAATCCTCCCTAGGGTGAATCTTCCATACCCAGAAAGAAATATGCTAAGCCAATTTAGTTAGGTGTTTCTTACTTAAATTGACACAATCAATTAACTATCACAGCCCAATTAGGAAAGACTGTAGGGAAGTCATAATCATAGTATTAGAAACCTTAAAACTGCTCCCTCAGTATTAAACAGAGCAAGTAGATCCCCCCCAAAATAAATCACTACAAATATAGAAGACTTTGACCACAATATCAACTAAACTGGCCTAAAGGTCACTTATG